AAATGAATAATTACGTGTCATGTTATTCTTTAGTTGTACAATGAAACACATAACATAATGTGTAATATATGTAGAATATCTTATATTTATGTGTAAATCAATATCATGATCAAAGAGAAAAGTATGCTTAGGAATTCACCATTTGGTCAAATGCTTATAGTATGAAAGCATTTAAAGTTCTGGAGAAACAAATGTTGGATTGCAACAATATATTGACATCTCAAAAAAAAAAGCATTAGCGCTAGCTGTCAATATTGTGAAATAACATATTAAGATAGTGTAATATTTATATGATTATAATATTACATATAAAAGTTATTTTAAATATTTTGTCATTTAACATTACCGCCGCTATTATCACTTTTAACCTATTGTTTCTAATTACCACTACAAAGGTCGTTACCATATTTCACAAGTTTGATTCATATATATTTCTATATTATTGTTACACACAAATTTTCAAAAATAATATAATGTAAGAAGATTATCCACTTATTCATTTATTATTTTATTTTTAAGGACAAAATTTCTAATGAAATAAAATAATTAGACCAATATAGTTTACGACTAAACCCACGCAACGCGTGGGTCGATTTCTAGTTCTTTATAAACTTTGCTTTTAGCAATACAAATAAAGAAACATAAGAGATTTAAAAAAAAATCTTTATATACTTGTTTGTATTTGACGACTGTATAAGCTTTACATTTGTGCTTCCAATATAAATGTCTTAATTAATCTCTCTAATAAAAACGAAAAATATTATATTACGAATTGAGATACCATTACAAATCACTATAATAAGTAAGACCTTAGAACTATGGGATAAAAAAATCGTAAGTCATCAAAAATATTAAATATATAAGGAGTGATCAAAAATATTGAGATCCTCAAACTCAACTTTGATCTATGAGTATATATGTCTTTAACCCATTAACTACAAAACTCAAGGCAAGGTAAAAAAAATTCTTTATCTGTGGATGGATTGATAAAAACGCCTCTCAAGGAGTGAAATGTTCCATCCAGAAAAAGAAGGGATCTCTCCATCATAGAAGCTTGCTTGTCATTCTTTTTAACGGCTCTCCACCACCACATCCAACTGCTTTTCAAACGAAATGTTGTCGTTAGGCATATATATTTTGTGCTGTTATAGGAGCTTTAGCCTTTGAGTGTGGAATTTGAGTTTTGAGGATAAATATTTGTTCTCCTCCTATGAAAAAGAAACACACACAAAATAGAATGAATTCAAAAATATATTCAGCATTGACCAGAGTTTTTTTTTTTTTTTGATAGGAATGTGAATATCATTAAAATGAAGAGGTGAGGTTTTACAAAAGTAAGCATAACCTAAAGCATGTAACCTTGCCAAAAAAGAATAAAAAACAAGAGTTACATAAGAAACGTTGGGTGTCAATCAACGAATTATCTGATCCAAAGGGCCATCAAGTTTCGGAATTTCTTCCTTCTCCTTCTGGCAGTTATCGTGTTCCTGATCTCCTTCTCAATGATCTTGAAGATGATAGAAGGCGATATAATAACCTGGTTATGGAGAACGTTGTTGCGTTGCTTCCAAATATGGTAGACTGTTGCTTGCGCCACCAGTTTCCTTAGGATCGGAGGAGCAGAATCAGTTTTTAGCTTTGTCCACGCAATAAGAGAGGGCCAAGTGTAGAAGATGCACGGAGAGAGATGAAGTCTGGTCAAGACGTGAAACCAGACCTGTTCACTAAACTCACACCTGAGCAAAAGATGGTCTCTAGATTCAGAGAATAGAGAGCAAAGACAACAAGAAGAGGGAATCTGCATTCCCCATGAAGCAAGACGGTCTCTAGTTGGAAGACGATCAAGCTGAGCAAGCCACATATTGAAAGCATGTTTCGGGGTGGCACCTTTAAACCAAACCGAAGAAGACCAGTCCTTAACAGGAGCTTTCAGTCTAATACAATCCCATGACATTGCCGTAGGAAAGTGCTGATACTTGATGCCTTGAACCTGCCAACTGTATGAATCATTATCCAAATCAAAATCAGAGAGATGGATAGAGGAGAGAATTCCGTGAATGGCCAAAACATGCGGTGAGCTGAGGCGCGGGATCCTGAGTGAGTGTCTAGCAGAAGCCTCAGCCACAGTGGAAAGTAATGGGATCCTTAGCTGAGTAGGCCCGACGTCGCCAGCAAGCTTAAATAAAGGACCCAACTGATGCCAATTGTCGAACCAGAAGCTTGCAGTCTTGCCATTTCTGACATTGCAAACCAAAAACTGTTCTGCAAGAGGCCTTAAAAGAAGAAGGGACTTCCAATTCCAAGAATCAGTAGGAGAGGCTTTTAGTGACCAGAAGCTAGATCCTTTGATGTGATGATGATGATGCCATGCCACCCAAAGAGAGCCACTGCCAGAAAACAGCAGCCAGACCAGCTTGAGGCACAAGGTGGAATTCCAAGCATCCAATCTGCGCAGTCCGAGACCTCCTTCCTCCTTAGGGTAGCAGACCTGTGACCAGGCGACTTTAGCACCCCTGAAACTATCAATAGAACCAGACCAGAGAAAGCGAGCACAAAGAGACTCCATCTTTTTTAAACAAGCCTTTGGGAGAATGAATGCAGACGACCAGAAGTTGACGAGGCCATAGATGACAGATTTAATCAAAAGGAGGCGACCAGCATAAGACAGGAAAGAAGCAGCCCAAGATTTAAATCTTTTAACCATTTTCTCAATGAGAGAGGAGTACTCGGAAACACGAAGCTTTCTACTCATCAAAGGAAGACCCAAGTAACGAATAGGAAGGGAACCAATGGAGAATTCTGAGTTAGCAATCGCAGAGGATTCAGCAGGGTCCAGACCAGCAGTGAAAACCTGAGTCTTTTCACAATTCATGACCAAACCGGACCAGCTGGCAAACAAGTCCATAGTATCAGAGATGCCCTGCAGCGACATGGAGGAGCCATCAAAAAACACCATCACATCGTCAGCAAACATCAAATGCGTTATATCTAGCTCTTTGGTTTTGGGGTGATGTTTGATGAAGCCCGCAGCAAAAGAAGAGTGCATTAGTTTGCTGAAAACTTCCATGGCCAGGACAAAAAGATATGGAGAGATAGGGTCTCCCTGCCTCAAGCCCTTTGAACTCTTAAAGTACCCCGAAGCGTGTCCATTAACAGAGACTGAGAATTGTGGAGTAGAGATGCACTGGTTAATCCAACCAATGAACTTCTCAGGGAAGTTTAGAGCTCTCATAGTGGCGATGATGAAGTTCCAATTGACCGAGTCGAAAGCTTTCCTGAGATCAACTTTAAGCATTCCCCTAGGTCCAACATTCTTCCTACCATAGCCATTAACCAACTCTGTAGCCAACAACACATTTTCTGCCAGAAGTCTACCAGGAATAAAAGCAGATTGGGAGTTAGAAATAACCGAAGGAAGCAGGGCCTGCAGTCTTCCTGCCAGGAGCTTAGAAATCACTTTGTAAATGGTATTGCACAGAGAAATGGGCCTGAAATCAGTAGTTGCTGAGGCGTTAGGGATTTTTGGTATAAGCACGATAGTGGTGGCATTCCATTGGTTCAACATTTGACCAGAACTGAAAAACTCCCTCACAGCTTCAATAACTTCAGGGCCCACAACAGACCAGCAGCTCTTGAAAAACTCAGCAGAATAGCCATCAGGACCAGATGTTTTATTCCTTGGTAGGGAAAACATGGCAGCCTTTATATCCTCAGGAGAGAACTCTTTGCTTAAGTCATCTTGCTGAGAAGAAGAACATCTGAACTCAAGCAAAGAAGAGATATCAACCGGATCAAACTGAGGAGACTCACTTGGACCAGCCAGAAGGTTTTCAAAGTAGTCTACACAGTGAATTTGAATTTGCTCATAGGAATCAATTCTAGAACCATGACTGTCCACAAGGAAGTGAATATGATTAATAGCTTGCCTGGCAGTAGTCATTCGGTGGAAATAAGCAGTGTTTAAATCTCCATCTCTAAGCCAAGTAACAGAGGATCGCTGACAAAAGAAGGATTCCTCAGCATGAAGAAGAGTTAACCATTTAGAATTTGCATTTCTCTCAGCAAGAGCAGTAGCATGATCTGGAGTAGTGAGCAGTTGCCGCTGCAGAAGAACAACCTCAGCATGAGCTTCTTTAACCCTTTTCTCAATGTTGGAATAGTTGTCTTTACTGAACTCCCTGATAGGACCCTTCAAGGCTTTAAGTTTCTTAGAAAGTCTGAACATTGCAGAACCAACAAAGTTAAATCCATACCAATTGTGAGCAACAAGAGGTAAAAAAGAAGAGTTCTGCAGCAGAAAGTTCTGAAATCTGAAAGCCTTTCTCTGTCTCTGAATAGTCGGTGAAAGAGTGATACAGCAAGAGGCATGGTCAGAGAAATCAGGCTCACCAAAGTAACCGAAGGAGCTGGGAAAACGCTGATGCCACTGCTCATTAACTAGAATTCTGTCTAACTTTTTGGCCAGTGGGTTGGCAGTTTGTTTATTCCACCAAGTGAAGGAGCAGCCTCTAAAGGTTAGGTCTGAAACTTCAGCATCAAAAAGGCAGTCTTGGAACAGCCTAGTAGAAAGATCAGTGTTTGGATTCAGGGAAATAGAGAAATCAAGAGGACTGAGCACCTGGTTGAAATCGCCTAGGATTGTCCAAGGCTTCCCCTCAACACGAGAATTAGAGGACATAAAGGCGATCTCCTGCCATAATTCCCTCTTGGTCGATTCCTCATTAGCTGCGTAAACAAAAGAGACGACAATCTCTGACTGTGAATCCGGCAGGAGAACTTCACAAGTCACCATTTGGAGCGATTTAGCAATGATAGACACCTTGACACTAGGATGCCACATTATCCAAATCTTCCCCAAATCCGAGAAAGCGTAGTTGTTATCAAAAAGCCAGCCTGGCATAATAGAAGAGATGAATTTCTGTTGCTTTGCCTGCTTGACGTGAGTCTCTATAAGACTACCAAAAATAGGCTGGTTGACTCTGAACCAGTCCTTAAAACCTCTTCTGTGACTTGATTTATTAAAACCTCTCACATTCCAGCAAAAAATATCTATACACATTGATCAGTTGGGTTTGGGGCCCTTGCCCCGCACTTTCCTTTGTTGTCTCTGTGAGAACATCTTCAAAAACTGACTTTCATCAACCTCAGGGTCCACATCATCCTCAGAAGAGTGAACATCCGACGAATCAGAGGCAATGCTAGAGCCTGCAGAAATGGCTTTTTCAGCTTGCACTTTTTCCAAACCAATGTCAATACTAAGCAGTCCTTGAGAGGAAGAAGAAGAAGCGCATAAGGGGCTAGGAACCACAAGCGGCTTCTTCGCAGACATTGGCTTTACTTGGATCCATTCTGAGGAGCTGTTAGGGGGAGCCTGAACCTGCTTCAATTGCCACACAGGGAGAGGTGGACTTGCAGCCTCCACTGCTTTTTCCTTACCTTTGACAGAGGGAGCAGGGACGCTCTGAGAAGGAGGCGGAAGAGGAGCATCTTTTATCTTCTTTTTGCGAGGCTTAGAAGGACCTTTAGCTTTAGCTTTAGCTCTCGGGCAGTCTGCGGAGTTATGACAGGTAGACTTGCAAGCTGAGCAAGAGATTGGCGCTAGCTTGCATTTCTTTAATCCATGCCCAACTTCCTTGCAGAAAGAGCAAACTGGAGGCATCCAAGGACTAGAAACAAGCACACGGCTGATCTCTCCAGACTGAAACTGCACATTGACGGCTTCAGGGAGTGGCTTCCTCGGGTCAATCAGCGTGAGAACTTTAGCAACTTCCAGGTTTGTCAAGTTCGCAGTGCTTGGATGAAGACCTTGAGGCTCGCCAACCAAACCCGCGATATGCTCAAAGCCCTCAGCATTAAAGAATTGGAAAGGGACATTTCGCAATTCAAGCCAGACAGGGGCTGAGGTGAGCTCCGGCTTTTTAGGAATGGAACCGGGGTGCCATTTAGCAACAAACATAGTTTGGCCCTCTATTTGCCAAAGCCCCTGGCTTAGCACACGGTTCCTGGTGGAAGCGTTGGGAATACGGAAGAGGAAGGAGTTGCCTTCCATTTTGCTCACACTAATGTCCCTGTGGAATCGACTCCAGATTCCATTGACGATTGCGTGAATGGTACCTTGTGCAGGGGGATCAGAGTAGAACTGTCCCAAGACAAAGCAATCCCAAGATTTGGAGTTCTTTTCAATGACTGAATTCGGTATCATAACACAGGCCTCACCCGTGGGAAGGGTGAAGGCTGTTCCTTTCTTCGAGAGCCGACGAGATTTTCCTTTGAACAGACTTAGCCAAGGAGCATCGGAGGAAGAGGCTGAAGGAACTGGGTCCGCCGCTGTCGCAGCTTTCGCAGATTTGGGAGCAGAAGGAGCAGGGTTCGTCTCTGTCAAAGATTGAGAAGAGACAGGGCAAGGAGAGGACAGATCTGGCCGGATTGGGAGCAGATCTGACAAAGGGGGAGCTTCACTTGGGCCAGAGGCGGAAGCAGAGGGAAAAGGGTCCGGAGAAGAGTCGACAACAGCCAGAGCGGGTGAAATTGGGGCACCTGAGGAGACGGTGGCCGGAGCAACGACAACGGACGAAGAAAGAGAAGGTGGAGGTGAAGAGCGAGCAACCGCAGGAGGCGGATCGGAACGAGCAGCCGCAGAAGGCGGCGGAGACTTTTTGGACGGATTTTTATTCCTCATGAGGAGAGGAGGGCCTGAAGGAAGAAGGAGGACTGAGCTCCGACGTCGAGGCCGACGCCGGAGGAGATGGGAGAAGGCCGTCACTGTGAAGCCTTATCGCCTCTCGAGTCGCCTTTTAGGTTATGAGTCGCCTCCTCTCTTCGGTCTTGTGTTTTTTTGCATTGACCAGAGTTCTAAATGGCTTATAAGGTAATAGGTTCTTCAGGCTCATCAAACAAACTGGATTCTCAATTGAGGTTTGATATCGCAATCAATTGTATATTAATTGTTAATGATATTCAGTTTATGTAAATACAACTTTAACAGTAACCAAAATAAAACAGATACATTTATTTACAATCTTTCAGGTTATGAAATAACATAATCAGTTGTCAAAAAAAAAAAAAACATAAATCAATAGTGAAAAGAGATTATTTACAACCTTCACACAAGTTATATTATTTCGATTTTGAAAAGAGATTCTGCATGTGTCAATTGCAAAATAGATGAGGAAGTAAAAGATACGTAAGAATAACAAGTTTTAGAGAAACAAAAACAAGTCTTAGTGGAATGCAAGTCTTGCCGATCTTTCTCTAGGCTAGATATCTTCTTCATGTAGAAGAATATGAATGCTTAATATAATATAATTTCACTATGGCATGGTTCATTTCGATCATACATCATAGAAAGGTGAAGAAGTAGAAAGATAAATAAGAGTAGAGTCCATATATAATGAGTAATTATCTGCTTGCGTTTTTCTAGTTCTTTCTCCAACTTTAATGATAAATAACAGTAGAGTTCATACTTGAACAAGAAAATGAGTTTTTGTTAGTCCATAAATTCCCTTTTTTTATAATGAGGAATTTGTGCTGTCTCGGCCACATGGAGTCCCTTCTGAAGTAGAACAACTAACTTAATTTTTATACTTTCACTCCTCTAGTCGATAGAGCTTTATGTTAAAGATGTATATGGTGATCCGCAACACTGATTTATTATCACAACTTGATTACTTGCCTTTAGAGACGAGAAATATTTTCATTTAATCTGAACATGAGCTCTCATTCTTTCCATTCGTATATTTTCCTCGTTTCAAGTTTTCTTTTGTTTCATGAGTGATCCAGAGTAAAGGGATGTTTTTCAAGAGTTTAACTGTTTCAGAATGAATTTGAGATTCAGAGGCCAAGTTTTGTTTATTCAGATGTCTCCTCTTTTCCAAAGACAGAATCATGAGTGAATAAAAGTGACTTCTGATAGTCTCACTATCTTCTAGATTCTTCTTCTTGCGCGTCTTTCTTTAATCTATTTCTTGCTCGATTATTGAGGAATTTCTCATATTATACATATCTATATCTAGAGGTTGTCGGTGCATTTAGGGTTTGGCCTCATGAGATCTCCATTTTATTATTATATAGATTCTCCTTGCTTGACATTTTTGTTTGTTTTCTCTTAATCTCTTGCTCGATTATTGCGGAAACTCTCTCATCTAATCTTACTTTTGGTCAATTAGATATGGATCCTTCTTCTGCTATGGCAAGCCAAGCCTTAGACTTGTTGACGAAGACATACGAGGTTGTGGATCATCCTTCAACAAATTCAATAATCTCGTGGGGACATGACAACAAGAGTTTCATAATTTGGGATCCGGAAGGATTTGAAAAGTTTCTTCTTCCCTATATCTTTCCTCCCCGCAACCTGGGCGTTTATGCCTCGTATCTCAAGCTTTATGTAAGTCTTTCACTTAATTCTTGGTCGTCTCTCAAATAATTCAATGATAAACAACAGCTCTTGTGTGATGTTGTTTTAATTCCTTTTAAACGTAGGGAGTTTTAAAAGTTGAGTCTGAACAAGAATGGGAATTTGCAAACGATGATTTTGTGAGAGGCCAACCTGAGCTTTTGGAGAAGATTACTGATCGCTACAAGATATACTCCCAAGCTCTTCTTGCTTGTAAGACGAGGGAGGAGAGATTCTTATTGAACAAGAAGCGTAATGAAGAATGGGAAAGGGAGAGATTGTAGAAAGCTTTAGCAACAGATCTCCAAAATCAATGCAACATTTGATTAGGAATTTTCCTATCTATCTATCTATCCTTATGACTCTCTTTATGAAATACTACTCTTTTATCTATCTCTATCTCTGACTTTGGGAGTTTTAATCACTCATGTAATAATCCAGCACTAAACTTCTAAAAATCTTGTTTGTTTGTCTTATTCTGTCTGAGCAAGATGTTAGGAATTTAGGATTGTTAAATAAAAGCATGCATAATCGCTAGTATGAAAATTTATCTTTGTTTAAGTATTCAATTATGCAATAATTAAACACATTGAGTAAGGCATCTTTAGATCTTTTTATCATTTGTGTTTTCAGAGTCAGTATTTGTTCTTGTTTCTGTCTGTGGCAAAACAATTCATCTGTAGGAGATAAGAAACTCATGCGTTTTGGTATAGACTTTAACTTCAATAGAAATTCTCAAATTTAAATCGCATTCGAAAGAAAAAAAACAACTACTAAATCAAGTAACACGTTTAAAGACAAGAAAAGAATAAACTTCTTGATCTTGGTTTATGTCTGAAATTACTTGATGGTTAGAAACCTTGGCTGCAGAATGTTTCAAACAGCAGAGCAAAGTCTCTTCTCTTTCCAGCTCTTCTTGCCTGTTCTGTTCTCCCTCTGTATTGATTGACAAAAAGATCTTACACCATGAGCACCGTGCCACATAGATGCCAGCATGGAATATTCCCTACGTAACAAAAGTTAATATTGGAATATTGCTTAAAAGCCCCCAAACTATTTAGTTCATATTTCAGATAGTCGACTGATCCAAAAAACGTATCGTCTGCCCGGTCTCTTTACCTGATTCATATTTCTAGATAATAAACTAGTCCAAAAAAATATCGTCTCCTTGCTTAGTTCATATTTCCGGATAATAGACTGACCCAAAAAATGTCATCTGCCTGTTCTCCTTGTATATATAAATTTAGACACGTTGGATGAAGTTTTAACATCGTCAAATGATTCTGTCACCGATGTTAGAGATGAGAAATGTTTTTCATTTAATCTGAAAATGAGCTCTCATTCGTTCCATTCTTGTATTTTCCTCGTTTCATGTTTTCTTAAAACGTTTGTTTCATGAGTGATCCAGACTAAAGGGATGTTTTTTGTTGGATCAAAGCACTTAGAGAAAGAACAAGGTTATGAATGATAAAAGACTCTTTCTTTTATTCCCTTGGAAACTAACTCAAAACCAAGTTTACACAACCCTAATCTCTCAAATCTCTAATACACAAAACTTAAACACAACACATGTATTTATACAGTTTAGATGACTCCTAAACCGACTTAGAATTAGGTCTTAAGATAACTCCTTAAGCCTTTAGTAAACCGCCTTTGATCATTGCTTGGGCCTCACGCCATCTTCAAGCTTAGCCCAATATGCTCCCCCTTAAGCTTGAACTCAAATTTTGTCACATCATGAACACCTACAAGATCTCTCATCTCCTTAAACTTGATTCTCCCAAGGGCTTTAGTAAGTATATCCGCCTTCTGTTCTTCTCCGGGAATGTGCTCCACCTCAACCAATTCATTTTGAATGCACTCCCTAATGAAATGATACCTTTTGTGTATATGTTTGCTTCGACCGTGAAAAACTGGATTCTTAGTGAGTGCTATAGCCGATTTATTGTCAATGAGAATCAACACTTTTGTGCTTACTTTTCCGGTGACCTCCTGTAGAAGTTCCTGAAGCCACACTGCTTGTTTTGCAGCTTCAGTAGCAGCCATGAATTCTGCTTCACATGATGAGAGGGCCACTGTCTCTTGTTTCTGTGAACACCAAGTTATTGGACAGTTGTTGAAATAGAAAATATGACCTGTAGTACTTCTCCCATCATCTTCATCTATATTATGGCTACTGTCACTGAAGCCTATTAATTCTGATTTATTCCCACGGCTGAAACAGAGTCCATAGGTCTGTGTACCTTGTAAATATCTAAGTATTTGCTTCAAAGCTGCTCCATGAGATTCCTTTGGTTCATGCATGTATCTACTTAATAGACCAACACAGTAAGAAAGATCCGGTCTTGTGTGAAGTAGATACCTGAGACAACCAATATTTCTTCTGTATTCCTTCTCATCTATATTCTTTTCTGCCTGAGCTTTGCTTAGCTTTAAGTTTGCACACATAGGTATATGAACCGCATTGCATTCTCCAAAACCAGTTTCTTCAAGTATTTTCTTTGCATATCTTTCTTGACACAACTTGATACCATCCTTGCTTTGAATTACTTCAATACCTAGGTAATAAGTGAGTTTACCTAGATCACTCATTTCAAACTTCTCTGCCATTCCTTTCTTGAAATCACAAATCATATGCAAGCTTGATCCAGTAACAAGTAAGTCGTCTACATATACTGCTACAACCAGAAGTTCCTCCTTTTCCCTTTTCTGATATAATGAGGGCTCTTTAGAGCATTTCTCAAATTTTAACTCAGTAAGAATCTGATTTAGCTTATTGTTCCAAGCTCTTGGAGCTTGTTTGAGTCCATAAAGTGCTTTATGTAGCTTGTATACCTTATTCTCTGCTCCTTCTGCAATATAACCTTCAGGTTGACAAACATATACCTCTTCTTTTAGCTCCCCGTGAAGGAAAGCAGTTTTGACATCGAGGTGATGCACTTCCCAACCATTTGAAGCAGCCAGAGCAATAATGAGTCGTACTGTTTCTATACGGGCTACAGGTGCAAAAACTTCATCAAAGTCTATACCATGTCTCTGCACATATCCTTTTGCTACCAATCTAGCCTTGTACTTGTTGATGCTTCCATCCGCATTCCTTTTCACTTTAAACACCCATTTAAGTCCAATCGGTTTTGCTCCAGCAGGGAGATCTACTAGATCCCAAGTTCTGTTCTTGGTTATTGAAGAGATTTCTTCATTACAAGCTTCCTTCCATTCTTTTACTTCTTTTGCTTCATTATAGTCATATGGTTCTTCATTTATTAAAAGAAGAAGTCTTTCATGTTCACATTCAGCTAGAAGGATATAATCTTTAAGATAACCTGGTTTAGTAGTCTCTCTTCCAGATCTTCTTAGTTTAGGTAATGTTTCTTCAGTGCTTGTATCATGAACAGGAGAGTCTGCCTGGTCTTCATCAGACTCCTCATCTTTATCACTGTCAGTCTCATCTTGATGTGTTCTGCTATTATTCTCATTATCATTGTTTTCTGGTTCATTGATGACATTTTCTTCTCTTATGCCATTATTTCCAAATTCTCCTATAGCAAGACTAAACATCCCTGGGCTATTAACATCTTCATAATCCTGATTGTTCCAATTCCAGCCTTTACTTTCATCAAATATCACATCTCTGTTCACCACAATTTTCCTTCTTGTAGGATCTAATAGTCTATAAGCCTTTGAGCCTGGTTCAGTTCCTAGATGAACCAACATTCTAGAGCGATCATCAAGTTTTCTCAATTGTGCAGCTTCTGTTTTAGCATACCCAATACAGCCAAAAATCCTCAAATGTTCAATATTTGGCTTTTTCTTCCAGAAGGCTTCGTATGGTGTTTGATCATTTAAAGTTCTTGTTGACACTCTATTGATGAGATATGTGGCATGTCTCACTGCTTCACCCCATAAGTAGTTAGGTACATTCATGTGTTTCAAGATACTTCGTGTCATTCCCATCAATGTTCTGTTTCGCCTTTCAACTACACCATTTTGTTGTGGTGAATAAGGTGCTGTTAAATGTCTCTTAATGCCTGCTGAGTCACAGAATCCATTGAATTCTAGAGAAACAAACTCTCCTCCTCTGTCTGTTCTGAAAGTCTTGATAGTACTACCAGTTTCCTTTTCAATGCAATTTTTAAAGATTTTGAATTTCTGAAATGCTTCATTCTTTTCTTTCAGCAAGATTGACCACATATATCTTGAATGATCATCGATTAGAACGAAGACATACTTGTTTTGTGCTGCTGTAGTAGGTGTAATCGGACCACACAGGTCACCATGAATAAGTTCAAGTATACTTGATGCTCTGAAGGTTGTTGCTTGAGGGAAAGATTTTCTTGCTTGTTTTCCCAGTAAGCATGATCCACATACTTCTTTTTCAATCTCAAACTGTGGAAGGCCAGTAACAAGTTCCTTTTGCATCATATTCTTCATGTTATCTACTCCAGTATGTCCTAATCTCGCATGCCAAATCCTTGATTCATTAGACACCATAATTTGCAGACATTTAGGATTTTCAACTTCCAAGATTACTTTGTAGAGTCGGTTTCTTGATCTTATTGCTTTTACCAACAGCTTACCTTCTTTATCATATAGAGTCAAGTAGTTCTCTTTCATTCTAATGTCACACCCAACTTCAGTAGCCTGTCCAAGGCTCACTATGTTGCTTTTTAGGTTAGGAATGTAGTAGACATCAGGCAGGGATCTTCTTTCTCCGTTCTTAGCTATAAATGTGATTAGACCTTTTCCTTTTATGTCAATCCGAGAGTCATCACCAAACCGTACCTTTCCTGTGATGGTTTGATCAAGACTAGAGAAATACTGTAAGTGACCTGTCATATGGTTGCTTGCCCCATTGTCCAAGTACCACATGTTTTCTATATCCAAATTTGTTTCAAAATTGCTAGGAACTACGTTTTTTTCATTAAGAAACACAACTTCATGCATCATTAATGCATCTGCTTGTTGTGTATCCTCAGGCTTATTTTCTTGTGCTTCTTGTAGTTTTAACATCCTATCAGGGCAATCTGACGCGTAATGGCCTAGTTTATCACATCTATAGCAGGTGATTTTACTTGTGTCTCTGTATCCACCATTGCCTTGAGAGTTACCATAGCGTCCTCTTCCTCTTCCTCTGCCATAAGAACGTCCTCTTCCTCTGTTTGTGGACCAACTTGTTTGTGAGTCGGAGTTAGCATATAACAGTTTACCCTGATCTTCTTGATTATCCTCATCGTCACAAATTCTCTCCTCATATGCTTTTAGTCTTCCAACTATGTCCTCAAAGCTTGTTGTGTTAAGGTCAAGAACTTGTTCAAGTGCTGCTATTAT